TCCAGTCCTACCCGTCCTATGGTCTCCACACAGTCCTACCCGTCCTATGGCCTCCACACAGTCCTACCCGTCCTATGGCCTCCACACAGTCCTACCCGTCCTATGGCCTCCACACAGTCCTACCCGTCCTTCCAATCTGAAGGTACCACACCCGCAGATAACGATTTCTGGAATAAAGGCACTTTTATGAAAACTAAACTTAAATCATACGCCCTAGCAGAATTAAATGGGATTGCTTAAGGTCTCATGGACAATAAACTAGTTCAATGAACTAGTTACATTTCTGACTATAACATTTGACTGCAGTTAGATATCCCGATGCTCTGCCATCTCTGAGGAAATGATTCACACTGTTAGCATTAGGATCTGAGAGATTGTAGATTCTGAGCTCTGGATCTAAGACCTCTGAGCCCCTAAGTATAAATCAATAGATAAAACAACCAGTGAGACTTCACTCCCAGTGTATACATTCCTCTGTGCCCAGCAGCTATTTTGTATTACAGCCTGTGGATAAGACAGCTAAATATACATCAGCAGTTACCAAAAAGTCAATTACTCAGTCGCTTCTGTTCGAGCAAAGGTCATGTAAACTGTGTTGTGTAAGCCCACATTCTTAAATGGACTCAATTACAATACATTTTAAGATCCAAAGGAAGCCTGAGGGAAGCACTGAATTCTTGCCCTGAGGTTACAAAGAGAATAGGGCAAATCCTAAGGACTTCAGTTCAATCCCGCAGTGCGGTGCAACAACAGGTGCAGCCACTGGCCTTAGCATGTAAATAAGAGCATCTGGTCAAATGCATATTCACAGCCACATAGCTCAAATGAAACATCTATAATAGACTGTTATAAGCTTAACAGATAGCTTAAATATAATGCTGCTACTGCTCTGGTATCAATCACTGATGCATTTGGGCACTGAACACCACTTCAAAGTAGTTCTCCACATGACCGATTTTTTCATTACATAGAATTCAAAAATACAAATGGAAATGTGTTCTTTTGTTGTCTCTGTGCTTTTTAAATTCCATTACAATATCTAATTTGTCTTTTAAAGATTTTTAATTTCTGAGAGAAATTTCTGAGAGAAGACATATTCTCAGAGGTGAAGAAATTTAAAATATTCTACACTTCAGTTAAACTGTCTTCACAATATTGTTATTGCAATTATATTTGGGATTTTAAAAGAATTATAAATATGCTATAAAATTTAAATTTTAATCTAGTAGTTCCCACTTGTAGCCATTGCTACAAAATCCTTGCATTCTTGTGCATGTATAAAAGCAGGTTTGTATTTGTGCCCGTCTGTGAGAAACACCACTAGTGAGCCAATGCAAACGCAGAGGCTGTAGCTCCACTGATTTCAGACATCAGACTTGTCTTTCCTTCTCAGTAGAGCGTGGTTGATAAAGCTGAAGTGATTGCAGCCAACATGTGACTTGGCTGGCTTCTCTGGAAGGTTCTACAAGAAATGACAGCACTCTTACAAAGCTGACCTGACACATGCAGGTCTCTTGTTGGGTCCCTAGAGTTGCTAGGCAACAGATCAGTCCAACAGACCACTCTATCAGTAATTCAAAGGGACAATGATTGCATCGTTAGATGTCATCACAGAAAGAAAACTACTGAATAAATAAATTCTAAATAATGGTTTTAGAGCTACAAGGCACTGTTTGTCTCTTCTACTTAGCTAAGAAAATAAATGAGTGTGTAAACAAACATTGTATCTTATAGCTACATACAGTCCCAGTTTCAGACAAGGAATCGAAAAAAAAAGATTCAATACAATCCCCTCCCCTTTGAATGTCGACAATGTAGCATATTGTCACAGCAAGAATCCAATTACTGGGGGCAAGTTGTTCATTTTGAGATTTACAACGTTTTACAGGTTTTCAGCGAAATCTGTTTCTGTCGGAGGAGCACCAGGAATAGTTCCCGGAGTGTGAACTTAATTACTCCGTCAGCTCACACCTTGTTAGCTGCCCTTTATTTCCGCTGGTTGGGGAAGCACGGGGGAAACATGGCTTCATGAACTCATCCAATTGTCCTTTTAAACACGTGTCCTATGAGGATTATAAGGATGGACTTGAAAGCATGTTGTCATCACCACTACACTTTTGAAACACCCTGCATAACTGGAGGACTTGCACTTATTGTATGAGTGAGTGGTGGTACATGTTAGTGGACAGGAACCAGACTCTTCAGCCGCACTCTTATCCAATAACTTTACACTGACCAAAGACAGACAGCTCTCCTCATAGACTCCATCTTCTGACTTTCTTTATAGCCCAGCACCCACTATGGTGATTCCACCATTACCCCACATAAGTACTTGTCCCTTTTCCTCAAAATTCCCCATAACCTTCAAACGTGCCTCTGATGCCTACCCGTCCTATGACCTCCACACAGTCCTACCCGTCCGATGACCTCCACACAGTCCTACCCGTCCTATGGCCTCCACACAGTCCTACCCGTCCTATGACCTCCACACAGTCCTACCCGTCCTATGGCCTCCACACAGTCCTACCCGTCCTATGGTCTCCACATAGTCCTACCCGTCCTATGGCCTCCAGGTTAGATATAAAGAATACACGTTTGATGTTTTCTCTAATCACTCACATCCCTAAACTATGGCTGCTTACAAAGACAGTGCTAAATACTGTTGAGAGTTGATTCATGACACAATGCATTACAGATTTATTTAACATGAAAGATTGCCTGCCCTTTAGCTGATGCACTGGCTTTTTTTCAACTAGTGCGGAGGCGGGGGGGGGGGGGATGGATGGTATGCCGACTGACTCTGAGCACGGTCTGGGAAGAGCACGCTCCACTCCTCCGGAGTGCCAGCGAGAAAACATTACTTCAGCACTTTGCCCGCCAGCGATGTAGCTGGAGCACTTTGTTCCAGGCCTGTCTCCACACTTTCAGCCACGTAAGGGAAATAAAGACAGCTGAGCAGACAGACAGCTTTTTTTCCGGCATGGTTTATGGGAGAGGAGCAAGTGTCCCTGGAATTGAGACTGGAGGCTCTGGAGCAGCTGTTGCTGGTGAGCAAACATTGCAGGAGATTAATCACTGGTCCCCGAAGGCACCCCTTTGCTTTCTATATCCAACCAGGAGGCCCCAAAAGGAGAGGCATGGGAAACCCCCCGGGAGAAGACTTTCCATCTCATTTAAGACACATTTGTAATCCATAGCAATCAGACATACACTGAATGTGTAGTCACTATCAATGGATTATTTCCAATGGAAAAAAACTTGTGGTAACACTTTCTATGAATGCTGTGTCTGTAAGAATCTATGAACACATTCATAGCACATTATAATGCAATCATAAAGCATTATAAACATGGCTGTAAATATTTATAAAAAGGCATAACACATTATAGGCATATTTATTATGCATTATGAATGCATTATGAAGCTGTCATTCATAATGCACCATAGATACCTTCATCATGCAGTACAAAGCATCCATAATTCTTATGCCGACCATTATAATATATTATGAAAGTATTCATAATACATTATAGATGTGAGCTTCATTGTAGCTTATGAAGTAATATAATCAACACTATAATGCCTTGTGACTGTCAAAAGAAGATGCTGTAATATCTTACTAACTTTTATACCAACCGTTACGAAGGTAACTGCTTATGAAGGTATCGATAGAGATGACAGCTTTAAGTAAAGTGTTACCAAACATCTTTTAAAGCTGCCCTCCCTGTTAACTGAACTAATGACTCCCACAAGCAGAGGAAGGGTGCATTGAGGAGGAGGAGTGAGTCACCAATCTGTCCAATCAATCAAAGTGACAACTCTGCAGCGGAGCGAAGATCCATGGAACCTCAAATCACCAACGAATCCACATGACATAAAAAAAACAAAACAACAAAAAAAAAACTATATATAACATGACAGAAGAATCGATGATGAGATAAACTAAAAAGCACCATATGTCCTGAGTGACCAACTGGCTCAGGGAAGAGGCTAATGAACAGCCTAAGGAATGGTGATTCACATCACCAGGATACATTCTGAATGTCATGCGACTCGCAGCTACAGTCCACTGGCGCAAGAAATGCCAGGGATAAAAGGCGCAACTGCATATCCGATGGGCACCTCACCGTCTACCTTCTGCAAACGACGTCACGACCTTGCTCTTCACATCAGGTGGCCTAGGACTGCTCATGCACTCATCCTTCCCATCCCAGCCACAGCCGGATGCAGGTAAGTCCCGCACCCTGCCACATGCGCGTATAGTGGGCTGCCTTGCACACCTTGAATGCTAATTCCACTAGCAGTTGATGCTAACATGACATGGTGATTCTCTCTAATGGGCTAGCGAAAATTAGCACATAACAGAAATCATGAAACACACCGTGTGAACAGTAAATACGGCTCTCTTTGGTTTTACGTCACTGTTACTCTCGCCAAACCTGGCAACGCCTTTACCGAGCCGACTTCTGCAGTGGAAAACAGAACCGCGATGTAACTATTCTCTCTTTTAAGTTTGGCTTAGGTACAGTTTGGTTCCTGTATGCCAGTGGAAAAGTGCCGTTAATTAGACTCTTTGCTGAAGTGGGGCACCTGGTGTGTGTGTGTGTGTGTGTGTGTGTGTGGGGGGGGGGGGGGGTTGTTGAGCCATGGGGCCCTGCGAGTCCAGCTTCAGCTCACAGGTACTTAAGCCGTGACAGGCCGGGTATGCTCCAGCGCCCTCATCCCAGAACCCCGCTAACGACCCTGTCCAGAGTCTGCCTGGTGACGGCTGATACAAATAACCTCCGCCCCTCCTCCAAACCCTACAGCAGGAACTGAGCTCTAACAATTGATGCCCCAGTGATGCCAACCTAGCATAAACTCTATTAAAAAAAGTTAAATTATGTGAAATTGACTTGACTCCATATTCAGGCTTCGAGGAGAATCACCAAGCAGAAGAGGCCTGCAATTGCACTCAGGAAGAATCAGGTACACAGATATAAGAAAGAGGCCTTGCTCACCATGGGCGTCTGCGGACATCGTACAGATCAATCTTATTTGGGGCTCTCCATGGTGTGGCTGTGTGTGGAACAGACATCACGAGTAAGATAGAGTTTTGGTGGGATATAACTTCTACTTGTTTGAATACAAAACACAAGCCTGTATTTTTACAGATCTCACTTGTTATGATCTCAGTGTGTCATATATTACACATCACATGAATGTATATAATTCTATCAGATAACAAAAGGTCAATTTTTAACTTCTGTGTTCAGTGGTCCAAATGAACAGATGAGTTGGAGGCGAGGCTACCTGGGTAGTATCTGGTCACACCCGTGGCACTGCCAAACACCTGCCACCGCAGAGAGGGGTCCTCCTTGCTGTTTTCTATGAAGACTTTCTCCAGCGCCTGTGTCCAGTTCAGCTCATTCAGGATGACAGGGGCTAAGAACACAGCAGGTGGGGGTGGGGGTCACACAGCATTGCACAACATTATACAGACCTATTTAAAATAAGAGGTGATGTTACGGAGATGTGCTACCATTCAGCCACACTCAACTTAGCATTAGAGCCATTTATTGCAGCCACACACAATAACCGGAAACAGTACAATCACCCAGATGATTGTGTGAAGGCTAAACCTCAAAATAAAAATTCTGAATGAATCCAAGGAGTGAAATGAAGTGTCCAGTTATGGGAACACTGAATTCATGGAAAAAAACATCCATTGAGGGACATTTAGTCCATGTGACCCAGCAGACTTACCATTACAGGACACTCTATATTACACAAGGTCACTTATGGTTTTTAATGCCTGTACTCTATAGCTAATCATTAACCATAAAATGAAGCCAAATCTGCATATTCTCAACCTTTTTTGTTTTTCCTTTTAACATGCTGCATCTAAACTCCCCATATTCTTTCATATTATTTAACAGCCAAGCATGAGTCAAAAGATGCGAGGAGTAATTAGAAGTTAAATGTGAGCCTGATTAAAGGGAGAGCCCGACCACTCGTGAGGGGGGGGGGGGTTCTGTTTGTATACCCTTCTGATTTAATTAGCCATCCAGCCGTGTCCCACCCGATAAGCCCTGGAACCAAGGGCCCACGTTTGCGGCTCTCGTCATTTGAATTCCACAAAAATAAATTATATATCCTTGCTTTTCCCCCAGAATTTTCAATTAAGCCCCCCCTTCCCCCCACTAGATAAGCTCCCCCAGTCTCCCCAGGAGAAGGGGAACATGACTCTTCTCCAGTCCAGATGGATCCGAAGGTGGAGAGCTGTACGCATACCCAGCTTTAACCATAGTAGGAGCCTACCAAAGAAAAAGACGATGCTAACTCATGAGAGAGCTGGTAAGCATATACACTCATCATGATTTGAGCTTGCTGGCATGAAGGGGGCTCCAGCATGAGGTGTACAAATGATACACTCGAAGATGTGAAGGAACCAAGGACAGGAACCAGGAAGGAACAAGAACCGGAAAACCAAAACACTAGATGAGACGCGGAACTCTGGCAAACCAAGACCAGATATCCGGAGACGAGATGCCAGGACACCAAACTCTTGCAGATTAAAACAACCCCTGACACCAGGGGCCGGTATCGTGAAGAGAGATTTGTTGGTTAGTTTGATAACTTTGTAGGATTTAAGGTACCCCAATTTAAATTAACTTTACCTTCGCTCACTTGCAAATCCTGCTTCGTGAGTGATGAGACTGATCCCAAAGCAAAGCTCACCGCATAATCTGAATTGAACTTGGGGTTTGCTTCTCCTGGTTCAGAGAAAGGTCACACAGACCATGCTCAACCTCATGATCAAAACCACAGAATGTGTTTAATATCACCTTAAGCATATACATTAATCCTACATACCGTTTTGGTCTTACCCATGTCTGGTCTTGGTCAGAATCATTTAGCATTTTGGGTATCCATTGATGTGGAAAACTTGACAACTACCCTCTAGCTGACTCGTAACCTAGCATTACACTGCAAAGAGCAGCATGAGGATAGCCGGGGTGATACAGATGAAATATGAGAGCGGGATCCATTGAAATGCAGATGCCTTCGTGTCTTTATCAAGAAGCCTCAGTGACGATGCTCCTTTTGATGCCTCTCCGCACAGCCTATTTCTCACACACCGACAACGAAATCGGTGCTAATTATGACCATCCATCATGCGCTAAAACATGCACGCATGCGCACACACAGGCACACGTCATGCACACACAAGACCAGCGGTGTAGCTTAGGGTGCTGAGCAGATGTGAAATAAATTGCTCTTGTCACCAAAAGGCGCATTTTAACGTGGGAGCTCAAAGCAGTTTGTCCTCTGCAACAAAAAGACATAAATAAAAAATCGTGGGTGGAGAGACAGAGAGAGAGAGAGAAAGAGAGAGAGAAAGGGAGAGCGAATGAGACAGGAATGGGTCTGATTCCCACTTTAACATTCCACATAGTGAACTACGGCGCTATAATATATTGTTGCGCCAAGTCTAGCTGTGGGAGGTAATACATCAGTATTTAAATGCTAATCAGTGCTGTGAGCCCCTTTGAGGCCTGTCAGAAGGCCCACTCTGCCGCAGATCCACAAGAAGCAACGGCACACAATGGCCACAGACTCCGTACCACACAGACGAGGTGCTTTGTAAACACGGGTACAAAAAAGGGAAAGACAGGCTCAGTCGAAATGTCCCAGCAATTCTGGATTTGCTTAGCTGGGCCAACGCTGTCGCTCAAAAGCATCGCTCGCTGACTGCACCCCCTACCCCGACCCCCCAAGTCCCCAACCTCACCATAGCCAAGTGCCCAGCAGGAGAAAAAACACACACAAGCCACCATGAATAACACCGGGAGGAGAAACAATAAATAAATAAATAATGATGCACCGAAGCCATCAAAGTGTAGCGGGAGCGGATTCCCGCCAAGCTGTTCTCTGCTCCACCATCTGGCGGGCGACACGCGAGCTTTCACGCCGTTTTCCCGAGCGCGCTCTTTCCGACTCCAGCCTGACAGCCTTCGGATAAAGCGTGCCTCTCTTTACGAGCTTGAAGAGGCGTGGGCGATGGAGTTTTCCCTCACCTCGGGGCTCTGGAACCAAGGGCACGACAGCAAACGAAGCCTGAGTTCAGGCACATTTAGCAGAGAAAACAAGCGGACAGAAAAATGCAGGTTCACACCCAAAAGCCACATTCTCCAGAAAAAAAAACTGCTGAATGACAGATACTCTGGGAATTATATCTCCGCCGATAGGTTATCTTACGAAAAAAGTATGTTTCACGATAAGGAAACACATACCGGCTAATTTAGTTTGATTTATTCCAAGTTTTACTTTTCAGCTGCAGAGTCGATAAAAAGAAAAATCTCCTCTGGGAAAAATTCCCGCTTATGGCTGACTTGGCCCCTAAATGTTATTAGAGTCATCCTTCATTGGAAAAATCCATCCCAATGATATCTTTAAAAGGCAATCTATCAGCGGCGATGTTCTGAGACAGTCGGGACCGGGCTCGAGCATGCCCTTTCTAAAACGAGGACGCAGCGGCAGAACAATTATTTGCAGGATTTATTGAATGCTGTCCGGCGAAATCATTCTTCACCGCGATTATTTATGTTCGTTTCAGCGGGTGCGCCATGATGCAGTCACAATGAAACTGTATATTACAACTAGCATTAATCCACCAGTGTCTCTCTGCACAGAGCATAAACACGCTTTGTGCTGGATTATGTTAGTGGTGAAGGTATTTACCATTTAAGTAAAAACAGGAGGCTGTACTATGCATTTGAAATAGGACAGACATGAAATATGTCAAAGTGTAGTGGATTTTACATAACGTTGTCTCAATCGCATTATCATAGATTTTATGGATTTCTATAAACACTGGATTCCTCTTCCTGCATGGTATCTCCAACTTGACTGCATATCTCTATGGAAATCAACAAGCACTGACCCCCTAAACCCGAGTGCAATCCCACGGGGGTCTCCGCACTCCATTCAGCACAAGTCGCGGGGTGTCGGAATCCTGCATCGACCCAGCGGCACGGAAACGTCGTGCATCTTTTGAACGTGTTACTTCAGCGCACCAGGATCACTGACGCTGTGAAATATTAAATGAAAAGGTACAAACCCAGGTGGGAAAACTCACGAACTGGTGTATGTGAGCACGCACATGCGTTCAGTGCGGGAAAGATCTCCATATCAGTTTCACATTGAAAACAGAGCTAAAATGGATTAAAGAAATAATCTAAAAAAGAATAATAATAATTTAAAAATCACATCGAAGACAAGTGGAGAACTATGGGAAATGGCGGGGGGGAGGGGAATAAATGTGCCTTTGCTAAAACTGATTGCGTTTTTAATTAAAGGCAATACAGTAAATAATAAACAAATAAAATGCAATTTTTGTGCTTAGTGGTGGGTGAAGTGGTGGGTGGCGTCATCCGTGTTCTAATTAGCGTGCGGGAAATGATAGTACCCCTTCGCTGGCTTGAGAGTAGGGGCGTGGAGTTTATTTTGTTAGCGGGGGGTAGAGAGAGGGTTTGTAGTCAAATCAAGAGGAACCCTATGAAGAAACAGCATGTAACACCAGGCAGAGTCCTGCACCGGGTCGGGTACCCAACGGGTACCCGCAGATAGTTGCTGAAACGGGCGGATTTTAATGTCCTGGAATTTCACGGGTGGGTATGCGGGCGGGTAATTAATTACACACGGGCGGGTAGCAGGTCAATCAAAACAGTATTGTAGCCTGCAAAAATAACATATAAGCGAAAATATCTATGTATTAGACTATCATGTACAAATTGTCATCATCACAATGTGTTCAGTATGTCGGGTGTACCTTATGATGCTTCCGATTATTTCTCTCCAAGTCGGAGACGTTTTATGACGTTAATGTCGGACAAGATTATGGTGCGTTCGATTATTTCTCTCCAAGTCGGAACTCGGATGAAAACGTCACGATACGTCACGAAAAACATCACTTCCCGTCGGAAACACGCCCCTTTTATGACGTTGAAGTCGGATAAGATTTTGTTGCCCGAGTTGCCCTTGTGACGTAATTTCAACTTGGAAAACTCCAAATCTGCTAAAATATAAAGCAACAACACACAGCAGCGTGTTCATGGAGGCAGCCATGTTTGTTCCGAGATGTGGTAGCTCGAACGGGAGATTGTCGGACGTGATGTCACTCAACTCGGAATTTCCGAGTTCCGAGAAAAAAACGAACGCACCATTAAGATAACCGCCTCGACAAACATTCACATACACGTCTGAATCCTTGCGGAAGCGTGTCGTCGTGTTCTCCCTTTCACGCTCGTCACAGTATGGATTCCTTAGATCTATCTGATTTGGATTTTGTGTTAAACGGAGTTTTTCGTTTCAATTCAAAATTCATGTAGGCCTAGCGCTTGTCACGTTGAGAGGTGCATAGAAAAAACAATTGTGTGTAATTTATCATGGGTACAGGCGGGTAACGGGCGGAATGTTAACGGGCCCAGGCGGGTGCGGATTTAACTTTGAAATAATCACGGGTGCACGGGCTGGCGTGGTGCTGTACTGTGCGGGTGCAGGTCTCCAGAAGTGGACCCGTGCAAGACTCTGACACCAGGACAACTGTTCCATCTAGCCTGCCTGGACCTTAGAATCCAACTCATGGAAGTCAAGGTAAAGCCTCACGTCTGTCTGGAAACATAAGCAAGAGAAATGCGTGCTTGTAAGCAGACACTGCTCCTCTGTGCTGTTTTAGCTCAGTGCAAGACCTCCACAGCTCCTCTGCTGCCCACAACATCAAAAGGATAAATCGCACATTGCAGTGACAATACCAGGAACGGGCATACCTCTCACGGGCAAGCATTCTCACTCTGTTTCCGTTTCCGTCTTGTAAACAATGAGCTATGTTTGGATCCTATATTCTGAATTTGATTGACATGGTTTCCTCACATTTGATTTCATTATTTCTACAGATGTGACTCAGATTTAAAGTGATGACAGTGATTGACACCATAATGATGGCAGAAAAAAACGTGACAGCTAAGCAATGAAATTACACTTGCTTAGTTCCTAAATATATATTTTAGTGGCATAAACACCTTAACGTTCCAGATTAACAAGTAAAGAGCAAATTTCCAAAGCTCATTCAGTCCATTTTTTGTGGTTTCTGAGATGAAATCTAATGTCGATGACCTACAATCAGGCTTCCTCAACATATGTTGGGAACAGACTCTGACTCAGTCCTCATAAAATCCAAAAAAGAACTTTCGTTAAATTTCCAAAACTCATCAAAGCCCCTTTCAGACATGTACTGCCACATTGAACTTTTCTAGCCATTACTCAGAAGGACTGTATGTGTGAAAGCAAATGTCCAAAAAACCAACAGGTTATTTAACAGACTTTATCTCACTAGCAAAGTCTGGGGCTTCGTCCCATTTGCCCACCAAGAACACACTTACACACTCCTACACTTGGTGGGCACATTCGCACGCGTAGCCAAAGTATCCATGGGTGGCCTGTCCCTCAAATAAGCCAAGTGCAGTGTGTTTAATGTGCACGTTATCCACACTTTGGCAAATACTGCATGGAAGTGGTCTTTGGCTAAGTAAATAGACCACAATGCACTGCAACAGTGACAACTAATGTTTGCATCAAACACAAGGAAGTCTGTCGGCATAGAGCACAACGAAGTTTCAATTTAAGTGTGCAAAGTTGTATAATGAATGTTTACATATCTAAGCTACAGTGAAGGGCAATCCCACACACAAATGATAACATAGTCGTAGCGCATTTCATGTTCACCTCCTCAGATATCAAGTGTATCCCATTGTTTTCAAGAAATGGCCGAGCACTTGAGCTCTTTACAAACACTTGCTCACTTTGCATCTTACATCAACATACATCACCAAAGTGTGTAATATCTCAGCATGCTTGCACATAAATGGGGTATATGGGGCAAAGCCTGGATCATTATCAGTTGACCCCCATGTGTGAATGGAGGAGAATATTTTCCTTAGAATTTACCATGAGTGAGTAGGGATGTTTATGACAATTATATCATGCAACTGCATGAAAATTCTGTAAGGGTCGACCCATAAATCATTCAACAGACTCAAAGAATGGCGAGAGGCGTTGTGTATGATCAGATTACAAACCCGCTAAGGTGCAAGTGAACAGCAAACACCTTTGGTGCGCTGAAAATAACACACTGTAAATTCCGCAGTGTACTTTTTGTAAATTCCGCAGTGTACTGCTCCTCATCTGAACCATATTTCTAGTAGGTGTGAATGCGTCTGATATGGAAAATCTCTGGTTGTATGTCACATGTGTGAAAGGGTAACTCCAGAATATTCCACACCTTATTCTCCGGACGATGTCCAGGGTTCATGTGTGAAAACAGCTCAATTTTCTTGAAAACATATCCAATGGACTAAGTCAGTTTTAGAAGATTTTGATGCGGTAATGCTAGAATTTTTCAGTCGAAATAGCAGATTTATATTTTTATGAAATGGTTAAACTGAAGTTAATGTGATTTCACTGGCAGAACTGAAAAAAATACAGTTCAGTAGCAACTTGAAGTAGTCATGACAAATTAGCAAAGAGCCACAGCTATGAAAACAAATACAATTAAATTTAATTCTCAAATTACCCCAAAAACTGAAATAATGCCATAATTAGGATCTGAAAATAGGGGTGATATTGGCAACATCTGCAATAAATAAAAGAGTTGTTTTGCGAACTGATTTGGCCTCCGACAATACGCTGATAGTCCGGCCCTCTGTGAAGTGGATTTTTAGCTTTTTACTGTCTGTCGTATCAAGGAAATTGGGATTTACTTTTACTATACTTGCCGAGTCTCACTTTTGCTCTTACTTGCCACTCCACACTATCTTCTTAAGATTTAGGCAAAATACCACAATCATACTGCTTCCTGTTCCTTCCGTAAAAGTTGTGTTATGCTTTTAGGCAATACTGTAAACCACCATTTAATACTGTGGATTTGGTCAAGCCTTATATCATGGAGTGTAGAGAGCTATACAGCACCATTACCTCACTGTATCTGATTTTCACTGAATACATCTCTGCGTTATTTTCTTAAAGGTGGACACTACTGTGTGTTTGTGGGTTATAAATAAATAAATAATATATATTCTCATCCGGAGAATAATATAATATAATATAATATTCGGTATTGGCCCAAAACTAATAGGGTAGGGGTTAAAGTTGTCATTGGTGGGATTAGGGTTTTGCATTTGGAAATGAATGGATGGTCCCTACAAAGATTTGAATACAGGTCTCTCTCTCTATGTGTTTGTGTGTGTGTGTGTGTGTGTGTGTGTGTGTGGGTGGGTTTGCATAGATCACATTTGGAGACCAAAATGTCCCCAAAGTGCGGTAAAACCTGAAACTTCCTTACTTTTGGGGACACTTCTTCAGGTCGCCATTAGGATAATAATCAATTTTATAAAAATCTGTGAATGCCATTAAAAAAGTAAAAGTGCCAAAAGTCTTGTATTTGGGTTGGTTACTTATGGTTAAGGTTAGGGCTGAGTAGGGTTTAAGGGTGTCGTGATTGGGATTAAGGTTTTTCCCATAGAAATGAATGGATGGCCCCCATTTAGATAAGTAGACCAACTTGTGTGTGTGTGTGTGTGTGTGTGTGAGTGTGTGTGTGTGTGTATGAGTGTGTGTCTGTCTGTGTGTGTGTGTGTGTGTGTGCTCATCTTGAGCACTTTGGAACTGTGGAATAGGAAGACACTCTTCTCCAAACCAGAATAGCCTCATTGCTTTAGCTATTTTGCCATAATTTAATTTCCGCCAAGTCTGTGCAGTTTCGCCCCTTTTTAGAGGAGTATAAGCATCCAGGCTGGAACATGAAACTAATTTACAAATAAATACAGGGCTTCTTAGACACCCTTCGTGCCCCACTTAATACACGGATTTTATACTGACCATACTTTCCATGGAGAGGAGGAGTATATCTGATATGTCTCGTTGTCTCCAACTAAAAAAACGTGCTTCCAAAACATATACGCAGGGGACATTCGAAACCTTGCATCACTGCTTCCATGATACCCCCACCTCGTTTTTTTGTGACCATTTTGTAATAAGCATTGATAATTAGAAAAAATGTATGAATGTTTGACCTGAGCTAATTAGAAAGTTTTGAGACTTGGCAGCTGTAATCACCAATGGAATAATGAATAATAAAATGGCTCATTACCGCACTAAGGGAATAGTTTCAATCTCAATAAATGGCCATGGTCCCAGACAGACAAATAAAACCAGGACATTGCCACCGTCTCATTTAGCTGCTGACAGGAGCAGAATAAAAGAAACATTTTACACTATATGGAGTATATTATTAAAATCTCTCTCGCTTTTTTCTCCATCATTTTCTCTTCTGCTTTCCTCGCAGATTTTCACCATTCTGTCCATCTCTGTTCTATACCCACTATGTATAGAGGAGTCCGTCTGGCCTTTTCTTTACGCCTAGTCTTGCCCTGCAGCCCTCCTGTCATTCTGCCTCAGCATGTAGCTTAAGCGGTAGATTTCTAACCTCAAGGTTGTTGGTTTAAACCCCAGTGGGGTTTGTGCTCTCATCCTCGTAAACAAGGTACTTCACCTGGATGGTTCAGGTTATTATGGGAAGTATAAATAAATAAAATCAATGATCTGAATCTTATTCCAATAAAATAAGAGCTTATGTTATTACTATCTTTTCTGTGTGCGATACTCACAACCCTTGTAGATGTCTGTGGGTATCTGGACAGCTGTGTAGGAATAGTTGACCCGGTTGTTGAACTTATCATCATCCTCAAACTCCAACTTTAAGGAGTATGGGTTGTCCAGAAGGTTCTCACTCTCTCCATCCTCGATATGGATCTGAAACAAAGCGATTTAGGTACTGGTTATATAAAATCAACACACACTATTGCAGCTGGGTAGCATTTTGACTGGTATACTCTTGACCTGTCAATGAGAAGAGCCCCTTAAATTAATTAATGTATTTGAAGTATATTTCCTAAAGTGACATTGTCACCTTCTGTACTTATTTACATAAATATTTAAGATTTTAATGAGAGCATTTTACTAATCAGTGACTATTTCATTTTGCAATAAATCAATGGCAAAAATTAATGAACAATAATTTTAAAATTAATTTGTTAAATCTTGTTTGTTTCCATACATTTTTTCATCTGCCTATTCATAACCAATAATCTCATATTCACAGCACAGAGGTGAACGGTAACCCATTCTGGGAGAACTGGGGAAAAGGGTGGGATCTGATATATTTTGCTGGTCTCTCACACATCCCTGCACTGATTTACACAGCCACACACCGAGGGTAATTTACAGCCACTGAATCTGAACATCTTGTTATCGGATGCTAAGACAAAAATCGACCATGAAAGACAGAAAGATGAATGTAATGTGGAGGAAAACCAAAGGAGAGAGCTTACTAACAGAGTTACAAGGGATGGCAGAGGAGGGAGAGCAGAGGGAGAACGGGAGGGATGCAGCGGCGATACACTAGGGAGGTTAATGCAATTTGCTGGTGACATTGTCTCTCGTCAAGAGGCACCTTTGACTCTGAGCTTCTGAGGCACCATGAAAAGCTCGCTGAGTGAGAAGGACCTCCATACCGCTTCTCACTTCACGCTCACCGCTGTTAACCGCTGCCTTCAAACTTACGGGGGTCACATGCACTTTATTTCACTTCATCTTATTTATTTTCATTCCTTAGCTCCAACAGCTTATTATTGCCAATGTCGCCCCCAGATGCTCCTCCCCGCATCGCTCCGTATCGGCTCCATCTCGGTGGCTACGGGGTGTTCGGCCGCCTCCGCAGAGAACTTGGCTTAATTCAATTGGGTTCATGGGCCCAATTCAAATTTCAAACGTTTGGGCAAATTTCTTATCTCCAAGAAAACAGTGGCCTGAAACAATACTGGAGCCCCACTCCCCAATGGGCATAATCAGCAACAGCAGTGACAGGCCCCCCGTTACTGGGAAAAAAAAACACACACTGGCATGTATATTCACAGGCACCCCTGCCATTACGCTTTAAAACTAACTGGCAGGGTCTGCACTGAAGCCCCTGAGTCCTAGAAGTAATTAGAAAAACAACATTGTACCAAAAGAAGAAAAACAAAAAACTAAATTCACCATGTGTATGGAAGTAAATTAATGACAAAAGTCGTTGATGAAAAAAAAAACACGTTGAATTACACTTATCGAATAAAAACGCATTGCATTAATGACGCTTTGAATTTTTGGGGACTGTAATTTAATATATGTATACATTTAAACATTGAACATTTCAACTGAAAACATTTAAATTGTAATTTCATTGCTTAAATATTCAGTACAAAAATATTCGGCTTCCAAAATTCAGTTCCAAAAGATACGTATTTTAAAGTGCATGTTTATAATTCAACCACATTAATTCAGTTCATTTAATTTCGCCTCAAAATAAATTTCAAAAGAACAAATTCAGTTGAAAATATTCCATGTGTTTTATTTGCATCTTTATTATTCAAGCAGTAACATTCAGTGCTCTTATTTCTGCTTTACAATATTCAGTCCCGTTATTTTCGCTGTTTCAAATACGCTGCCACAATTTCAATGGTTTAAAATACGGTCCGAAATTCAAGCCTCTACATCCGGGACTGGAAGGATGATAGAGTTCTCTTCGGGAACCGCGGTCCAAATGGAGCAAGCTATCAATACAAGTACTGAGTGACTTGGCAGCAGATTTTCGTTGATTGTGTTATTTATGAATTATCACCAAACTTATCTTGCTAATGTAAGATCGTCTACTATCCCATCCCAACTACCTAGCTGGCCAGCTTGCAAGCTAGCGGACCTTGTAGTTGCCCTCAGGCATCTTACGTTAGCAAGATAAGTGGTGATAATTCATGCAGCTAGCGAATTACTTACATAAAAACCTATTAGTTGGGGGCGCAATAAGTTATCGTATTGACCAGTAAACGACAAGAAACATAAATAACACAATCAACGAAAATCTGCTGCCAAGTCAATCAGTACTTGTACTGATAGCTTGCTCCATTTTGACCGCGGTTCCCGAAGAGAACTCTATCGGCAATCTATGGCACATCCTGCTAGTCCCGGATGTAGAGGGTTGAATTTCGGACCGTATTTTAAACCACTGAAATTGTGGCAGCGTATTTGAAACATCGTAATTTACTTCCATACATGTGCCTCTTCTGCTAAAAAGTGCTGCCCAGTCGCAAGTATCTGCTTAGCTTTGCTTCTGTTTTCTTCCTCTTCATAAAACCAGCAGGTATTAAATTGGAGACAAAACCCTGAAAATCAATTACAGGCAAAAAAAGATGGCTGTCTCAGAACAAATTAAAGTGTGGTGCAGACTAGTACTCTCTTAATAACGAACAACAAACAATACTTAATTAAAGCGTGGGTTTCCACAGTCATCTCCCAGGAAACAGACCCCAGATCTGGAATAAGATCCAGGCAAGACTTCTCCGTGGGACAGGACAAGGTGAAAGGGTGGTCCTATTTAGAGAGCTGGGGGCACTGATAGCTAAGAGGCCTGAAAATTTGTTTATTTACAATAACTAAGAGAAGGTAAGCATCCATATAATTAATTTTACAACCTATTCCTATTTGTTTTATTCATCTTCACATAAGATTTTTAATGAGCTGTTGCACAATTAGTTTTTATGAACTAAAAATGCTGTGAGCTGTCCACACCTGACCCCACTGTTACCACTCCATATCCAAAGGAAACTGGCCATCTTTCCATACTTTTCAACTGATTGCTGTCCCCAGGAACATTGTTACCTGCTTGCACCCCTTGTGCCAGACGGGAATCCCTGCCCTGAGTGCTAGAGTAGGGCCTCACTGAAGGAGCCTGTCGCACCTCTGTTCCATGCCAGCGCTGCTCAAATGCGCGTACACACACACACACACACACACACACAGTCGTGTAATCATATCTTTTTGGGGATCACTCATTCATTTCTATGGGAAAAATGCTAATGCTAACTATGACAACCTTAACCCCTACCCAGCCCTAACCATAATCATAAGTGACCAAACAAAATACAAGAGTTTTTGCATTTTTAGGATTTTCATTGCAGTCATGGATTTTTCCCATATGGGGACCAGGAAAGTGGTCCCCACAATGTCATAATAACAGGTTTTTACCACATTGTGGGGGCATTTGGTCCCCACAATGTAATGTAAACCTAATCCATACACACACACACATACACGAGGTGACACCATGACCAGTGTCGCACTGCACGCTGTCCACAGCAGGCTACAGAAGCACAAAGTCTGATATAACACTGCACTAGGCAGGTTAACCGATGTCACAGCGCACTGCCTATGTCACGGATTCATGGACCTGCAATGAGCTGTTTTAAGAAAAGTAACATAAATATAAGTCTAAAACTGCAACAATCCATTTCATTGCAGAATGATTTCAGTACTCAGCATGGCCCCTATCCCAGGCCTCTCCTCTAACTCAACTGCATTCAAACTATGTTGCACAGATATTATTATTATTTGGAAAAATCTTGCTCATCTTATTTTAAACCCTGATAAGCATCTTTCTCCTTTTTTTTGCAGTTTACTGGGACTTTTGGATTTGAAATTCGTGGAAAAACACTACCAAAGAACCTACAGATAGGGAGCAGGTGGGAAATAAGAAAAGTTAACATTCTTTTCAGTTTAGAAACATGCACATGGTTGAAATTCAAACAGAGACTGTGGCTACAACCACAAGACACATCATTCAGTCTGCTCAATTAAGCACACAAAGAAACTAAGAAATGAACCCACTTACTCAAAACAGCCAGACACTCCAAAGTAAATTATGTTCATATTGATTGTCAACATCTCCCCAAACAAACACACATAATTTCCTCACGTCCACATTTTGCATACAAAGGTTTTTGCACCAGTGGACTCAGTAATGCCTGTGGGTGGAGATTTTTGCCAGACGCTGCTGTCATTTGTGCGAGATCCAAAAGGTGTTAAATGTCAAACCAGGATGAAGGGCATTCAGAATTTAATCTTTCTCCATTAATGTGACATTTTGGATTCAATCTTGATAAGCTATCAACAGAAGAGAAACCCCACCGTTTCTAGGGCTGGTAATTTAAAAATAAATAGAATCTAGATCTAAACAGTTTCTTTGGCAAAGTGTATTGATTCATTTCACTCCTCAGGAGATGTGCTAAAACACACACACACACACGCAACGCGCACACAGAAGATATTGTAATAATAGTATTAAAAAATGCTTACAGCCACATCTAATTTTAGAAAATGTACTCCACATAGTATCAACAACTATGTACATTACACATTAACACGTTCATTTTACACCTCCTCGTTCCATCAATTTCTGTTTTTCTTGTACACAAAATTCACAGTAATTGTATCACTTAAGCAAAATTACCCTTATAATCATTAAACTGTAGTGCAGAAACACAGAAAGACTGTATATGATATCCACCACTTCTTTCTTATAATTATTGAGGCAATTTCTATGCAAAACAAATTACTTTCCAATTATATTCAGGGTCTGAATGCTGTGACCAGTACTACATCCTTAGTAGAAGAATCACGGTTCCATACACATGCACTCTCTCTAACAAACAATGAGTTATTTGGAGATGAACTGACAAGAATCAGAATTGTCTGAGGCCAAATATTTTAGGAAAATTGTATTCAGTCTTTAGTCCAAGTGCCGAGCATCGATTTATTGCCTGGTTTTAATTGTCTATTAAAACGCAATTACAAGCTGTTGCTGGGAAGCACAAGAAAGCAAGTAGATTTCGCTAACACCCCTCCAGAATGTCAATGTGACGACAGGACAGGAAGGAGTATCA